AGATTTCGCAGCTGCCGTTCCGCCCAAGGCGGGAGATCAAACACAGCCGCTGTGAACAGGACGGACGGTAAAACGATGACATTAAGAATCATCACGCGTAGCTCGACACTGGTCGCGAGTTGAGACGCGGTAGCCAGGCGCCGTTGGATGTTACGGATGCGTGCTGCCCAATTTGCATCCGTCAGCTTGCCCGTCCCCACGGAGTATCCTAAGTACCTGGTCGTATCGCCAGTCCGAAGCACAGGGATGCCGTAGAATTCTTCCGTATGTACAGCCAAGTTAAGAAATATGAGCTTGCTTTTGCGTGGTTGTACCCGTAGTCCTGACAGCCGACCAAATCGCTCTACAATCTGTAGAACTCTCGGCAGCTGGTTCGCTTCCTGTAAGAAGACAGTCGCATCGTCGACGAACGCAGAGTACTTGTGTCGCGCGCCTGCACCGTGGGGTACCAAGATGCCTGTTATCTGCCCATCATTGTTAATTGCTAGCGAAAGAACCTCGGCAGCAATGATGAAAAGTAACGGAGCGAGTGGGCACCCTTGACGAATACCCGAAACAACCTCGTGTGGCTTCGACAGCTCCCCGTTCACAAGGAATTGAGCAGTGGTTCCGACGTGAAGGTCCTTGATCATTTCAACAAAGGCAGGTGAAAATCCGAACCGCGATAGTGCTAAGAACAGGAACTCCCGGTCCACCGTATCGTAGGCTTTACGAAAGTCGAGGAGCAGGATCGCCGCACTGGACTGGTCTGGCACTGCGGGCTGGGCAGATGCTGTATGAAGCATCCCCATCATCATCATGACTGTCTTGTGCATCTGTCGCCCGTGGACAAAGCCCTGTTGCGAGTCCCCAATCAATGTCCCCAAGAATCGTTGAACGCGCTGTGCGATGACCTTTGTGAATACCTTGTACCCAGTCTGTAGTAGTGCGATCGGCCTGTAGTCCATCGCGTCGTCTGAGTCTCCTTGTTTGCGTAATGGAATGATGATCCCCTCTAAAAATGAATTAGGAGGGAGACCTCCTTGAAGTAGCTCGTTACCAATAGCGACCATAGCAGGTGCCATGATCGCCTGAGTGTCCTTAAAGAAATCGTTATTAAGCCCGTCTGCTCCTGCTGCTTTATGCCTGTTAAGCCCCCCAATGGCGACAATCACCTCATTCAAACCAATCTCGCTCATCAGAAATACATTATCCACCGCCGAGACTCGCCGGGAGTCCGGAATCTGGACAAAGGCATCAAACTCCATTTCCATGTGTGTATACGGCGTCAACCTATGCACGACGCCCAATATAGACTGCCATTCCGAGGCAAACCTGTCCGCTGTCGTCATGGTACGCGTAAACTCCGCACCATTAATTCGACGCACGGAGGAAATGGTTTGATCTTTCTCGAAGATAGAGACCCGCTTAAAATTCCACCGAAGGAGATCTTTTGTCCGATCGAGTCGGCTACCAATCCGTACCAGATGGTCCTCCCGAGCCTCTTCCACTGTCACCGCGAGCAGCTCTTTACGCGTCAAGAGACGTGCTCGGCTTTGGGCATGTACCCTACGCACTACGGCTTTTCGCCGTTGGCCCGCTCGTTTACGCACCCGCCGGATACAGCGTACGCACTGCCGAACGGTGACGTCCCAAGACGCCGCTGTCGTATTGTAGCCAACTCCCTCAGCAATTAAATCGTTTAATAATTCCTCGATAACACGAGTTGGCTGCGCAGACCTGATAGGGTATGTAATCCGTCGCTGCTTCCGCGCAGTATGACCAGAGACAGTATCATCCTGAAAATGCAATCGCACCCTCTGATGGTCCGACGGCACAGGTGGCTCGTCAACCGAAACCCATTGCACTACAGACGACCAGGATTGAGGCACGTAAAATCTATCAATCCGGCTCGCCACCTCAGGCCCCCAGTACGTAAAAAAATCTGTAGGGTCAGGTTCATCGCCATCACCGTCCACGTTGTCACTGAGAATGCGAGCGTCCACCAAGTTGATAGATTCGACAAGGGCCATAAGCGCCGCACTTTCCGGTCGCCCCGACCTATTACCACCGAGCCTGTCCAGTGCCGGACTCTGCACACTATTGAAGTCCCCAGCAAGAATCGTCACCTTCTGCGTCCATGGCCATCTCTGTATGCTAGCGAAAAACTGTTCGCGATCCACCGGCTGGTTCGGTGCATAAACATTCACTAGCCGGAGGTCTCCTATGTCAACTGCGACAACTCTGTTGGACCAGCTAGATAGATTCCAAGGGGTCGCGGTCTCTGCCACAGCAGGAGTCAATAGAATCGCTACACCGGCCGCCCGGGTATCACTGACACTCCAATACGACAACACGGGACTATCAGGACGAGGCTGTAGCCCCCATAAGCGAGCCCAAGCAGAAGTGAGTTCGTCGACCTCGCTTTGGCTGCATACATGTGTCTCCTGTATAATCCAGGCCATCGGGCGGTGGGCAACAGGCGTCCGTCTCCACGCATCAAGCCACCGCCGCCTGGACTTATCTCGAAATCCTCTAACGTTCTGAGTTTCAATCCTTTTGGACCCATAGAACCGTTTCGTTTCCAGTTTTCCTTGCTCAGACCGGGACATTCGCTGTAAATATTTATGACGTCCGTATATATCTGTGGCTCGGGGACCCTCATCGATGGTCAAACCCGCAGCCGCTGGGGTGTGGCCGCCTTTAGTAATCATGAGCACGCTCGCCTTCCCCTTGCTCAAAAGCATCTGAGAAGAAGCGTGCGAGTTTGCGCCACTCAACTGTTTTGTTCTTGATTGTGAACGCGTCACGATAGCGACCAACCGTTTTTAGCGCCTCGAGGTGCCTGCCCAGACGATGCACTGCCTCGTTCTCCGTTCTGTCCTCTTGACCAAGCAATACTCTGATTTCCTTCTCGTATAACCCAGCGCAAATGACGTGTTTACCAAAGCGACATTTGTTGCTTACGTCACTCAGTTTTAAAATTGGGTCTTCCCCGTAATCCTGGTTTCGCAAGCGCACCCAGTCATCGCGGCTATCCGTGAGCGCAGGTAAATTGTTCGGGGCCGTCCTGGTAAATTTGTTGACCCAAGTGTCCAACCACTGGCGCGTCGAAGGATGCGACGTCTTTGCACGTAAAGATAGCAACCGAGTTTGCACACAACCACGCCTCCAAGCAGCAGTCCATATTTCAAACACCTGGTCGTCCAAAGCGCTGAGAATTTCCTCTGGATAGGGGAAGCTCTGCAGCGTAGAGAGGAGCCCCCTCGGCTCCCGCTTAGCCACTTCGATCCAGTCCGCGATACCACTGTGGACGTGGGGGAGGGCAGCAGTCGCTGAAGCCGGCCAAGATTCGACATGTTTCATCCACAGCTCCTGCCAGGAAGCGCCCGTGCTCACAAGATCCGTTGAAAAGGTACGCTGAGCCTCATCCCGCATTAAAGCCTCCCCATCTTGCGCAGTGACAGCTAACCGAGTGCGCATTATTTGCCGAATCTGTTCCCCTTCAACTGGAGTCATGGAATGGGCCCGCTTCTGAGCAACTGGAAGATCATCTGTGTCCCAAGCGGTGGACGCTAACGCGAGTTGAGATCCAGCGGTATCCACAGGGGTAGTAACTACTGACGCAGGGTCAGGACGATTCAGCGGATAGAGCTGATAATCCTCGGGCTGCATAACGACGTCAATGGCGCCAGAAGTTTGGAAAAGCGTGGCATCCGGTTTGGATTCTTCCAGTGGAGAGAACGCCAGTTCACCCAGCGCCGCATGGGTATGGACATAGGCGGAGTAATGATCACCCCAATATCGAAGAACCAATGGGTCTTGGTCCTGAGATTTGGCAGTTGTGATACCTTGAACGCACTCGCCAATTTCCAGAGGCACGTGTTGGCCCGTCTCGAAGAGTTTGGCCCCTCGAGTTGAAGTTCCCGGTCTATACACGGAGCAGGCCCACGAATTTTGACCGTCCGTGTTGTGCGCCAGTACATAAATTTGACGTTGTAGTAAATTAGCCGCAATCAATAATATCTCACAACTGCCCCAATTATGCCGTTCAACCGTCGCCAGACGCTTCGATGATGTGGATGCGTAGTCGTGGAGGTACCACTTAAATTGTTTTGCGGAATCACGGGGGCTCATGCCCGTCCATCCACGTGACACATTCACCAGCGTAGACGTACGAACAGAGTGATCAAATTGCTCGTCAAAGTTCAGCAGAGCCGTCCAGCCGATGCCCCGTTTTATAGTAGAGGTAAGCAGCTCCAATGTCCTATCTTGGGCGACCAAGTCATGATTAGCCAATGCCTGAGCCAGCGCCATTGCCATACAATTCCCCGTAGCCGGGGTAATTACGGGTCGCAAACCGAGGCCCGTCTCAATTGCGGGTAAAACCGTTGAATCGCTTAACTCCACCCCCTCTACGGGTAGCTTGGAGCCCGTGGCTAGCTGACTGTCTTCCATCACCCGGCGTAAAATAGCTCGTTCCCGCTGCTTAAGCGTAACCAACTGGGAGGTTGATTGCATTTTAGGCGGTTTGTCTGAGTGAAGATGTAACCTCCCTTTATCTTCCTCCGTAATAGTACGCCGAGTGGGAGCGTCTTCCTCGGTCCCCGACAAAATATCCACTGTACCCCCTACAGAGGGTATAGTGGGTTGAGTGGAGTGGTCGGGAGTACAGTCATCAGGCCATTCATCTAGTCCCGCATAAAAGGATGAAGTAACTGGTGCACGGGTAGAACGGCCCTTGGGACGAGGTTGCATCTTCTTACCCCTGCGGATTGGAACCGTCACCCACTTCTTCTTAGGCGTGGGTTCAGTCCTTTGTCCATCAACTAGGGGTGGAATGGTACTAGCACCACATGACGTGGGCAGGGGTGCAATGGATGAGCCTTCGGCAGGCAAAGAAGGTTCCACTGCCGCTTGCGCCTTCTTTTCATGCTCCTGCTGGAGTTTAAGGCGACCTGCAGCCGCTTCCTTGATTTCCGCTAAGCTGCCGAAAGGAGTAGCCAAATCCTCCAGCCCCGCTACTTCTCTGTCGGTGGCAATCCTGCTTCCTGGGCCAAGCAATTGTGCCGCCGTAAAACCACACCTCGCCATGGGATGACCGACGGTCCCACAGTATAAGCACTGAAGCCGGCGGCCGACCTCTGGATGCTTTAAGATGATAGGTCGGCCAAACCACATGATCCGCACAATCTCACGCAAAAAGTCCGGGCATCCGGCCATCTTGATCGTCAACCTCCAGACTGTAGAAGTACGGGAGTTAGGCGTACAGCTATCCAGGTCTTCCAGCTCAAAGTCAGCAGCGATATGTTCCTGTAAATACGCCGTAAGTCTGCCAATGTCCGTGAACCGGGTGACGTTGTGGAGCTCCACGGCATACTCCCGTACCCTAGCAAGACGTGTTCCATCGCGCCCGATCTGTCGGGCCCAGACAGACCCCTTCGACGGAGGATGCTGGTTAGCTACACGGTAAATAACACCTCGAAAAGGCACGGCGACCAACTCAAAATTGCGAGCCGTAACTCTGTCGAAAAAGTAGAAGTGAATGCAGCGTTGCAGTGGGTTGTAGCTGATGGTCTTGGCAACATTTAGAAAGCGCCGGAGCACCTCCTGGTCCACTCTCAATCGTTCCGCCGCCAACAGGATATCCTCCTTGATCGCACTTGTACTTTGCCGACACAACCGAATGTTAAGGCCACTACGCAGATGCAAAACAAGTTCACCTTCCACCTGGGCTTGAATCGTCCTGGATAATCGTACCCGCTCCTTGGAATCCAGGACGCTCTTCAAAAACACAGGCAGGCGCCTGCACACGATGCTCCCCTCTGCTAGACCAGTGATGATGCGCCACTCGTCAAGCGTTCCTGCACGAAGACGACTTCCGCTGTTGGACGTAGCCGGCTGCATGCATATCGACCGTAACGTTGCAATATCCTGTAAGTTGTACACGGCCGGGTTAAACATGAACGTCTTGTAGGTATTTTCGTGGTCTGGAGCCTTATCCCCTCCCTCATTGATGCCAGAGTCTCTCTTGGGAGCAGAAGCCCACTGATTGATTGGTTTCAGCCTGGCCCATTTCACTTTGCTGATCATGTTTTGCAAAATCGGCGTGAAAGTCCAGTTAGTGTTGTACAATGTCTGAATGGCCTTGGTGGCATAGTCAGCCCATGTCGCGTAGGGAGCGTTACAATTCACACACGCTACCTCGAAGAACTGAAACAGGACAACCTTTTCGTCGCGTCTCAGTTTGGGGAAACGTTTCTTCTCAGGTGGGACGAGCTCAGCATCCACCTTGACGTTGCCATGGACGATCGCGAAAAGCTCGGCCAGCGACGTCGTCCAGGCGTCCCGAGGGGGCTCCGTGAGAGCCGCCTGCCTAGCCTCCACCAGTGCTGAATACATATCCTGTGGTCGGACCACCGGGACCGGCTGTCTCGGCGACTCCGGGTTCGTAGCTTGCGCCGGCTGACTCGGGAGAGGCTGATCCTTAAGAGGGGTAGGCACTTTCGGCGACGGGATGGGCTCATCTCCTGTCTGAAAATCCCCGCCAGGGGCAATGCCGCTTGGCAATAACGGCGCCTGCGAAGGGTGTACGGCGTCGGCTTTCTCGGAAGTCACAGCTGGTGCACCGTCTAGTTCGTCGCAGTTACGCTTAGACTTCCCCCCTTGGGACGAGATCTCCGAAAGCTGGGACCGCTGCTCCCCAACCGTTGGGTCGGGCGGCTCGCCCCCCGGCGCAGGCAGTTCTCCCGCGCTGGGATCTACCGATCCTCGCATGGCGCGTGCTGGGCGATGGATAAGTGGCGCGAGGAACAAAGCGGAAGGCTGGTACTTGTACGTGGCTACTCTTAAACCTGACAGCGGGTACCTGGCTGTAAGGGCAGTGTGGAGCACACAGCAATTTTAAGA